TCTGTAGACAGAAATAACAAATGATAAGTAATTGACATTATTATGTTTCAGATGACGAAAATGATAGAAATCCCACAGCCATTTATGAAGAGGTTATCTCCTTAAATGTCATATTGACTTGCCCGGGCGTTCTGAAGAAATATCATATTCTGTGCAAGCTTATTATCTGATGATAGACGTGCCCTCTACAATGCGGGCCGACTTATACCCATGACATACATGTAACTGAGTGTGTGTGTGTGTGTGTGTGGGGGGGGGGGGGGGGGGGAGGGTTATTGCACTTATAGACCATGTGTTGGTGTGGCTGCTTGTACTAGTCCAGACTGGTGCCGATTTTATATTGCTGGCACATGAACAACCCGGACGCAGTATACTGACTCCGGGCCGACCAGTCCTTGTTTTAGCCCCTTAATGCCTATCACCAGACAGGGTAACAACAAGTACCATCTTTTGTTTTGACGCGGCCGGGCATCGAACCCCGGACCTTCCTCTCTCCGGGCGGACGCTCTACCACTGGACCACGGAGGCGGTCGAACAGTATAGCAATTAGAACTCGGCGTGTCAGCTTTGGTCAAAGAATTTGTGTTTTTAATTTTGTTATTTGCATTAAATCTCATACATTATTCCAAATACAACGTTTGGTTATGATGATTCATGTGTTTGGCTACCTTTCAAGGATACGGTATTTTAACAACATTAGCCTCTTGAGATTTGAAAGAGTTTCAAATAAAGCTGAATCTATCTTTTGGGATATAGGGTATAAACGACCCGAGGCATCCCTTTTCATTCTCTCAAACAGGAGACCCAGAGGAATATCTTAACTGATACATCATCTAACCTGATGACATTTTCAGAGGAAGTGATATACCACTGTCAAAACAGGTAGTTGATTGTCCAAAAATGCCAATTCAAAACCCAAACCGAAATAAACTGCCGGGCAAATTATAGTCTACACTTAAAAAATGGATTTGTCCAAAATAGTATGTGCTACGAAGTCCTCCTTGGTCGTATTCCCAGAGACAAGGAACACGAGATGTATACTGTAACACTTCTGCCAATGTTTAAATGTCATATTTATATTTGATATCACCGTCAGATGTATAACTTTTAGAATAACGTTTTACGAAACTTAAGACATTTATTCCAAAAGGACAGACTACAGAGTCGATCGACTGTACGTTCGATTCAGACTATATCATGGGCATGTGTTTGAAGCGACTAACGGTATCGTGTGGTCAGGCTCGTTGACTTGGCAGATGCATGTCATCAATCCCAATTGCGTGGATCGATGCTCATGATATTAATCACTGGATTGTCTGATCCAGACTCGATTATTTACAGACCGCTGACATATTGCCGAGTGCGGCGTTAAACAAGAAACCCACCAAATCCTGTCTGACAGAAATAATTCCAGGCATACAGCAACAACACATTGATGAACACACACAAAATTATACCTCGGTGGAAAACGAACCTGCAACCTCTCGATTTGTAGTGTGTCACGCTACCACCTGTACTAAGGACACTGTTACAAGGGTCAATTTTCCTAGTCACTGTTAGCTTGGTTTATTCAAACATTTATGTGTTATTATTGTACCAGGTTCGTTGTAAGTGATATATATGTTATGTAAGTGCCTCTGAAACTGATTTGGACGTCTAGTTTCAATATATATATATTATACATCTCATCCCTATTTGACTTATAGCCTGATAAAATGCACTATAGTTTACATGTTTAAAGGTATTTAAATTTAATGTTGCGTTCAGGTAATGTTTAAGGAATAAGGCGATAGCTCATTTCATGTGTTTAGACAATAAACATGTTCAGATAGATCACAAAAAAGTGCATACTGTTATAATTGAAATACATTCCTAAACATGTCATGTAAGTGTTTACATTTTTCACACATTTTTACAGTGTGGTTTAAATTGTGTATTATACTAATCATTAGGTGATATTCTAACCCAAATTCTTCGCACATATACATGTTAACACAATGAGTGTAACACGCCATCAATTTAACACGGAAGTGGGTCACACAGTCATGTTAAATCAATGGGTGTAACACGGTCATTTTAACACAGGGGTGTGACTCACAGACATGTTAACACAAGGAGTGTGACAAACATTCTGTCAACATGTATCCATTTCATTGTGTTAACATGTCCCCGTGAGTCACACATTAATTGTGTTAACATATGTCTGTGTGTCACACTTATTCTGTTAACATGTTCCCGTGTCTCACACACATTGTGTTAACATGTGTCTGTGTGTCACACTCAGTATGTTAACATGTCTATGTGTGTCATGCCCATTGTGTTAACACGACTGTGTGTCACATTCATTCAAATAACATGTATATGTGTGTCCCACTCATTCATTTAACGTGTATCTATTTGTCACACTTATTCCGTTAACATGTCTATGTGTGTCCCACTCATTCCGTTTACGTGTATCTATGTGTCGCACTTCGTGTGTTAAGAAGTATCCTTGTATCGCACTCAGTGTGTAACATGTCTCCATGTGTCACAGTCAGAGTGTTAACATGCCTCTGTGTGTCGCACACAGTGTGTAACATGTCTCCGTGTGTCGCACTCAGTGTGTAACATGTCTCCATGTGTCGCACTCAGTGTGTAACATGTCTCCATGTGTTGCAGTCAGAGTGTTAACATGTCTCTGTGTTTCGCATTCAGTGTGTAACATGTCTCTGTGTGTCGCACTCAGTGTGTAACCAGTCTCTGTGTGTCGCACTCAGTGTGTAACATGTCTCCATGTGTTGCAGTCAGAGTGTTAACATGTCTCTGTTTTTCGCATTCAGTGTGTAACATGTCTCTGTGTGTCGCACTCAGTGTGTAACCAGTCTCTGTGTGTCGCACTCAGTGTGTAACATGTCTCTGTGTGTCGCATTCAGTGTGTTAACATGTCACCGTATGTCACGCTCATTGGCTTAATAACATGTCTCTTTGTGTGTCACACTCATTGTGTTAACGTTTCTTCGTTTCTTCACTCAGTGTGTTAACATCTTTCCGTGTGATTCATTTTGTTAACGTGTCTCCGGGTGTTACACTCATTCTGTTAACATGTCTTCGTATTGTGCACACTGTGTGTTGCACTCAGTGTGTTAACATGTCTGTTCGTATCGACTGATTGTGTTAACATGTCTCCGAGTGTCACACTCATTCTGTGAACATGTCTCCGTGTGTCGGACTGATTCTGTTAACATGTCTCCGAGTGTCACACTCATTCTGTTAACATGTCTCCGTGCGTCGGACTGATTGTGTTAACATGTCTCCGAGTGTCACTCTCATTCTGTTAACATGTCTCCGTGTGTCGGACTGATTGTGTTAACATGTCTCCGAGTGTCACTCTCATTCTGTTAACATGTCTCCGTGTGTCCCACTGATTGTGTTAACATGTCTCCGAGTATCACTCTCATTCTGTTAACATGTCTCCGTGTGTCGGACTGATTGTGCAAACATGTCTCTGTGTGTCGGACTGATTGTGTTAACATGTCTCCGAGTGTCACACTCATTCTGTTAACATGTCTCCGTGTGGCGGACTGATTATGTAAACATGTCTCCGAGTGTCACACTCATTCTGTTAACATGTCTCCGTGTGTCGGACTGATTATGTTAACATGTCTCCGTGTGTCACACTCATTGTGTTAACGTGTCTCCGTGTGTCACACTCATTCTGTTCACATGTCTCCGTGTGTCGGACTAATTGTGTTAACATGTCTCCGAGTGTCACACTCATTCTGTTAAAATGTCTTCGTATTGCGCTAAACCTTGTATTGCACTCAGTGTGTAAACATGTCTGTGCGTATCGCACGCATTCTGTTAACATGTCTCCGTGTGTCGGACTGATTGTGTTAACATGTCTCCGTGTGTCGTACTCATGGTGTTAACGTGTCTCAGTGTGTCACACTCATTGTGTTAACATGTTTCCGTGTGTCACACTCATTCTGTTTACATGTTTCTATGTGTCGGACTCATTGTGTTAATGTTCACAGTCGCACACTGCGCATTTCCTCATAACAAAATCTACTCCTGACAACCTTCTCCGGAACAACGATGACTCATTGTTCACCAATTGTGTGACCTTAAAATTTAATATGATGAAACACTTCATTAGAGAAATGTAAATTACATATAAATCCTTAATACGGTCATTCCGTAAATGTAAAATATCTTTGCACAATTTAAAAATAAACTTTCTGAAAACAGGATCCGTTGTACAGGAGTCTGATTGTGTACAGATTGTGATTGTGGTTAAATGTAAGATGTGTATCATATTATATTGAAGTGTAAAACCAATACCTGTTGATACGAAATAAGTATTTACCAAATACTGCTCGTCCTTTTAATGTAAATAAGACCTTGTAAGTATTTTGCAGTCATAGCAGCAAAGTACAATCACAGCTGTTGCTATTTACTAAAACCATGTATTCAAGGTGTAACGCTGCAGTTGTATTGAGTTATGTCCCTTGTAAAAACTTTTAATACGTTTCATAAATTTATGTTTACTGTTCAGAACAGGAGGCTAAAGTTATTGCATTGTATTTGTACTTTTAGCTGTTGTGTCCTACACCTGAATAAACTTCCCTGTGTCTTTATCTGTTTGTCTATCTGACTGTCTTTACGACGTATGTACAAACAGGAAATATTTCTTCTTGAGATTAGCACGTGAACAATCACATTGTGCGAGTATGACTTTGAGAGTAAACTTGCCCCTTGGTGTAGGTCACAGGTACGAGCTTAGATACTTTTTACATCTGATATATGTGAATACAGTACATGTAAAGTGCAGTGGTTAAGTATATGCTGCTACATACTTAGATCACCAATGACAGGACTGTATGCCACATCAGGTAAGTTGAGATAACCTGGTGTTCTTTGCACCCGGGACATGGTGACACTGACTGCGTAACGATAACCCAATATGTGTATACTTGTACTTGTACCTCACGCCAGCCAGTCAGTAATAGAAAGCGTCGTGTCGTAGCAAGAGGTACACGCACACATCACGCTAACGGACAAGGACATCTCAGGGGATATTGTACATTCTGAGAATGGCCGAGTTTAAATGTCTTTCCTGGTTGCTGACATGTACCTACCTGATCTGTGTTTGTAACTGCCAGGACAGTATTGTGTCTGTCATACAAAAAATGGACCAGTTTGAGGAAGATCTGTTTCATAACAAGGAGGACATGATCCGTATGGAGAAAAGGATACGAAATATCATAGATGTCGCTGAGACATCATTGAGAGCTGAATTGAAGGAAAACATACGGGATCAAGTGAGAGAAGCCATGGCCGAGATTCTACAAGGGGAGTCTCTTCAAGACATGGTGAAAAGTCAGGTCGTCTCTGAATTGCGGCATCTGAAACAGGGCTACCATCAGATGAAGAGACAATTGCGTCATGTCTCTAGATCCCTCAAAGACTTTCAGGACGAGACGGGCGAATTTCATGAATCTGTGCTGAAGAAAGCAGATGTGTGGAATCGAGAAAACTCAAGTAATACCTGTGTCAGAGATAAACACAGACTGGAAATAGAACTACGGAAGAGTGATATTTTTGCTGCTGATCTACAGACAAATATTGAACGATTCATAGTATTGAACGAGACATGCCAGTCCCAAATATCACAACTTAAAACAGCTCTTGCCGTGCCTACTTTAGCCCCCGCCCCTGTAAATGTCACCTCAATCCCCAAAACACCAGTGTCAACCACGTCAGTGACGACACCAAGGCCAGAGGGGGAGAAAAGTAGGATCCTGATTGCTCCAGGCTGGTCAGACACCCAGCACCAGTTCCGTCAACTCAACATTCACAGTAACTCACTTAGTGTCTATCAGTATCACACCATGAAGCTGGTGACATATGTTGCATACGTAGCTAGGACAAAGAAACTTCTGATAGGATTACGGAGCCCTGATAAAATAGTGTCATCTACACTGGATACAAGTCACGTGACGGTGCTAAGAGAAGGTGTAGAGACATATGGCATGGCAGTGGATGAAGATCGGGACATTGTATTCATAGCCACGTATCAACCACGATACTCAATCAGCCGCATGTCTACACAGGGGAAAGACTTTACTGCCATCATTGACCTATCCAAGTACGGAAGCTATCCAGCGAAAATAACACTTGACACAAGGAGAAAGAGGATATATGGGTGTAATCGCGGGAAACTGTTCACAGTGACCTATGATGGTCAAGGTCTCGCAACATTAGCCACAGGAAGTAGCATGTATGCTGTAACCCTAGACCAAGCAGCTGGTGTGTTGTATTATAGCATTGACAAGAAACTGATGAAGATGACAGTGTCCACTAATGTGAGTACAGAGGTGACCACACTGAGCGCCGTCCCCTGGAACATGAGACTGTATAGAGGCACCATCTACTTCAGTGGCTATAATTCTCCTATTGTAGGTGCAGTGGATGTGACATACAACACTGTTGCATACACTCTCCAGTCTATATCCATGAAGGGGACTGGTGCTTTACTTTTGTGTTTGATTCCCTGAATTCTATGATGTATATTCTACTATGAATTTGGAAAATACTCATCTCTGTAGTTTCGAATCACAAAAAAACAACTCTGATTAAAACAGCTAATTTGGCGGCCACATCACCACGGAAACTGATATTTATAGAAGTACTTTTTTCTCAGTCATTGTTGGTAGACATTTTGAAATAATGATATGTACAAATATACGTTACAATGTGCAGAGGTGCGGTCATTCAAAGCACGAGTGGAAATAGATATTCTGAAGGAAAACACGATGGAAACCGACTGAGTGAGTTTATTTCAAGTTTTGGGGACAACAGTGAGCTTGAAATTAGGCGCCTTTCTTTATCCGACTGTGACGTCACATCATTTGCGTCACAATGAGCGATGTGACGTCATAATAGTGACAGTACGTTTATCAAGCTCCTTCCCAGCGCGAGACACCTTCGTTACACTCTCGGTAACATCGCGATAGTTTAGAGATCTCCTCGAATGAGCTATCGCTATGAGGAGCATGTACGTTTATCTCTTATTCTATTATGAATTTGGAAATAACTCGATTCTGATTGGTCAATCAGAGGTTGTCAAATCACAATAAACCCCCTCTTATTGAAACAGACGATTTGACGGCCGCATCACAGCGGGAGATAATATTAATAGAATAGTATTGTTTTATGTCATTGACGGTAGGCATATTTCGGTAGGCTGCACGTTCGGTTCCAAATTCAATTTAGCGCGGTTAAATCTACAGGTAACCCAGCTCTACAGTTTGTTTATCTTCTACATTTTCCAACACACGAATATTTGAACCTCCATGTATGTCCATCATATATCAGTAGATTATTGGACTCATTTCGTTTATTTGAAGTCGGCAAAAGAGTTGATATAACTGTACAGTATCGTGTTCCTGATATAGTGATTTGGGGATTATAGGTTCGATATAAAATTCAGTTTAGGTTGTAAAGTCATTGATATGTACTGTAAGATTTTATCAATAAATACATTTTCATAGTTCCATTGTTATTATCCGTTTTTCTAACTTACACAAAACAATGCAAGCTTCTGTACGAATTATCTCTGCTGACACTAAGGCAGCCGCCGTCTTTATATTCCGGGAGGGGCTTTGGGTTGTTTTTGAACTAATAACTTGTTTCAGAAGAAAATGGAAGATATTAATTTGACCTCAGTTTATAAAAAAAAACACATAATTATCTGTTATATAAACATCTATCTATTGTTATGTATATATATTATGCTCATACCTAGTTTGTACATCATTTGCTTGATAACGGTGTTAGAATCTACACCGAAACGTCTCCCAATTGTAATAAAGAAGTTGCTCATCCATAACAATTTTGTCTTAGGTAAAATTAGTGGGACACAGATAACAATGTTAAAACAATGATGGGGACATACAGTAATGTTAACACAATGGGTGTGACACACATGGACATGTTAACACACTGACTGTGACACACATATAAATGTTAACACAAAGAGTGTGACATACGGGCACAAGTTAACACAATTGGTGTGACACACATATACATGTTAACATAAAGGGGATGGCACACATAGACATGTTAACACAATGAGTGTAACACACCGTCAAGTAAACACAGGAGTGGGACACACAGTCATGTTAACACAATGGGTGTGACACGGTCATTTTAACACAGGAGTGTGACTAACAGACATGTTAACACAAGGAGTGTGACAAACATTCTGCCAACATGTATCCATGTGTCGCACTCATTCTGTTAACATGTCCCCGTGTGTCACACTCATTGTGTTAACATGTGTCTGTGTGTCACACTCATTCTGTTAACATGTGCCCGTGTCTCACACACATTGTGTTAACATGTGTCTGTGTGTCACACTCAGTATGTTAACATGTCTATGTGTGCCATATCCATTGTGTAAACACGACTGTGTGTCACACTCAGTATGTCAACATGTCTATGTGTGCCATATCCATTGTGTAAACACGACGGTGTGTCACACTCATTCTATTAACATGTATATGTGCGTCCCACTCATTCATTCAACGTGTATCCACTTGTCAAACTAATCCCGTTAACATGTCTATGTGTGTCCCAATCATTCCGTTAACATGTCTTCATGTGTCGCACTTCGTGTGTTAAGATGTATCCTTGTATCGCACTCAGTGTGTTAACATGTCTCTATGTGTCGCAGTCAGATTGTTAACATGTCTCAATGTGTTGCAGTCAGAGTGTTAACATGTCTCAATGTGTCGCACTTAGTGTGTTAAGATGTATCCTTGTGTCGCACTCAGAGTGTTAACATGTCACCATGTGTCGCAGTCAGAGCGTTAAAATGTCACCATGTGTAGCAGTCAGAGTGTTAGCATGTCTCCATGTGTAGCAGTCAGAGTGTTAGCATGTCTCCGTGTGTTGCAGTCAGAGTGTTAGCATGTCACCATGTGTCGCAGTCAGAGCGTTAACATGTCTCCGTGTGTAGCAGTCAGAGTGTTAACATGTCACCATGTGTCGCAGTCAGAGCGTTAACATGTCTCCATGTGTAGCAGTCAGAGTGTTGGCATGTCACCATGTGTAGCAGTCAGAGTGTTAGCATGTCTCCATGTGTAGCAGTCAGAGTGTTAGCATGTCTCCATGTGTAGCAGTCAGAGTGCTAGCATGTCTCCGTGTGTAGCAGTCAGAGTGTTAACATGTCTCCATGTGTAGCAGTCAGAGTGTTAGCATGTCTCCATGTGTAGCAGTCAGAGTGTTCACATGTCACCATGTGTCGCAGTCAGAGCGTTAGCATGTCTCCGTGTGTAGCAGTCAGAGTATTAACATGTCACCATGTGTCGCACTTAGTGTGTTAAGATGTATCCTTGTGTCGCAGTCAGAGCGTTAACATGTCTCCATGTGTAGCAGTCAGAGTGTTGGCATGTCACCATGTGTAGCAGTCAGAGTGTTAGCATGTCTCCATGTGTAGCAGTCAGAGTGTTAGCATGTCTCCATGTGTAGCAGTCAGAGTGTTAGCATGTCTCCGTGTGTAGCAGTCAGAGTGTTAACATGTCTCCATGTGTAGCAGTCAGAGTGTTAGCATGTCTCCATGTATAGCAGTCAGAGTGTTAGCATGTCACCATGTGTCGCAGTCAGAGCGTTAGCATGTCTCCGTGTGTAGCAGTCAGAGTATTAACATGTCACCATGTGTCGCAGTCAGAGTGTTAGCATTTCTCCATTTGTAGCAGTCAGAGTGTTAGCATGTCTCCGTGTGTCGCACTTCGTGTGTTAAGATGTCTCCGTGTGTCGCAAGCAGTGTGTTAACATGTTTCCGTATGTTGCAGTCAGAGTGTTAACATGTCTCCGTGTGTCGCAGTCAGAGTGTTAAACACGCTCCGTTTGCCACAGTCGGAGTGTTAACATGTCTCCATGTGTCGCAGTCAGAGTGTTAAACACGCTCCGTTTGTCACAGTCGGAGTGTTAGCATGTCTCCATGTGTAGCAGTCAGAGTGTTAGCATGTCTCCGTGTGTCGCACTTCGTGTGTTAAGATGTCTCCGTGTGTCGCAAGCA